CCCGGTGCTGCCGCGGGTCCCACGTGGCAGAGCCGGCGCGCGGCGGGGACACGCGTGGGGACAGGGGTCTTTCCGTGGAAATGGGGGTCCCTCCATGGGGATGGGACTCCCTCCGTGAGGCTGGGGGTCCTCCCGCGAGGACGGTATCCCTCTATGGGGACGGGGGGGCCATCCTTGGGGATGAGGGTCCCTCAGTGGGGATGGGGGTTGTCTTAAGGCTGGGGATCTTTCCATGGGAATGGGGGTCCCTCCGTAGGCCTCCGGGTCCTTCTGAGGCTGAGAATTCCTGCATGGGGCCAGGGGTCGCTCCATGGGGCCTGGGAACTCTCCACAGGGATGGAGCACCTCCATGGGTCTGCAGGTCCTTTTGGGGGCTGAGAGTCCCCCCGTGGGGTCAGGGGTCCCTCCATAGGGATGGGGATCTCTCCATGGGGATGAAGGTTTTCTGTGGGGCCAAGGGTCCTTCCATAGGGATGGGGATCCCTCCATGGGTCTGCAGATCCCTCCACAGGGTGCGGCTGGCAGAGCTCCACCTTTCCCCTCTGCCCGCGGGTGTCAGCAGTGGCTGCAGAGCCAACAGAGTCAAATTTTGTGCCATGTCTTTATTGGAGATGCAGCTCCACAGTCTGCCACATCTTAGCACCCACTAAACACCGTCACCCACAGCCCCAGGTGACCAGTGTCAGAGTGGGAGAGCTGTGACAGGTGACATGAAGGGTGATGGCCAGGCAGACATGGAGCCTTTGTGGGTGTTCCCACACATGGGCACAGAATGGTCAGTGGTTCAGTGTCCCTGTGACCACAGCTTGTCCTCCACCCACGTGCTCACCACCCCTAGACGAGCCCCTACCTGTGGGTGACATGTCCCCACTGCAGGTGGGTGGTGACAGGCAACAGGAGAGGGAAAACAAAATGTACAGGAGCTGCTTTCCCACCCCACCTTCACCTCCAGAGCAGGATTTCAGCATCAGGGAAAGGAGGGAAATAAAGGAGCTTGCAAACAAAAATGAGACGTGACCTTGCCAAGATCCACCTGGGATTCTGAGCCACTGCACAACAGGGGAAGGAAAAGGATTTCTCTTGCTCCCAGTGTTTTTTCCCTTTGCTCTCTGCCTTCAGCCTGGGCTTTGCAGCCTGTTTGTGTTGGCCCCGGGGCAGAGAGAGGAGCACAGGGGTTGTGTTGGTTTTATTCAGAAACAGCTGCACACATCAGCCCCTATGCAGGAGGTTTCTCTTTTTAAGGGAAAAAGTCAAAGGGAAGAGTTATGTTTGCTGGAGTCCTCATGCTATGGAGAACATCCAGCTACCAGGATGAGGCTGTGGTTGGGAAGGGCTGGCTGTGCCCACCTCTGTCTCCTCCACTGCCCCCCTGCTTCTGACTGGGCTGCTCTCTGAGGCGATCCCCAAAACCTTGGGAAAATCCTTTGTTTTAACCTAGCCCTTTGCAGTGGAGCTCAGCTGCTGTCACACTGTCACTTTGTCACACCATCACATTGTCACACCCTCACACCCCCAGGACAGGGAAGCCCAGGCTGGGAGATGCAGCACCCCGAGGTATGGGGAACATGTCCTACAGATGGATTTGGACCCAAGACTTGATCCCTTCCAACTCAACTTCCAAGAATTTCTCCTCCTGAGGCAGTCTAATTTAGTTCTGCCTTAAAAATTGAATTTGGGACACAACTGACTTTTTCACTTTTCTTCCTTCGAATGCTGAAGGGTTTGGAATCCCCATATGATCACCTTTAATTGAGAGCATTGCTTTAAACCTAATTGCTGCCATCGGTGGTACCTAAATCTCAAAATTCCCAGCTTTTGTCTTTCCTGGCTTTTGCAGCTCAGATTTTTTTTATTTATTTTTTTTAATAAATTACGCCACCTCCTGTTTTCCCTGTTGCACTTACCCAGACAGCATTCCCAGGGAAGAAATTTTCCCACTCCAGCTGCATCTTCAGCTGCTGACAGTGAGTATCCCTAAGGAATGCTGTGCCTTGGGAGAGCTCTGTGATGAGCTGCTGAGTCCCAATGTCAGTGGGAAAACACAATCCTGCCCATCACAATTTTCCATCACATGGAGCTGGGTCTGAGCTGCTTTTTGGTTTTCCCCCATGGCAGTGCTTCCAAGAGCTTTCTCCCCATTCCTGGCACTGAGAGCACTCCGTGGGTTTTACATCTCAACGAGGTTTAAAGAAGCTGTACTTGGTTATGTTAATTGTGATTTTTGTGTAAATTAATCTGAAGGAAAGAAACACGAAATTGGGGTTGTTCAGCCTCCAAGGGTCCATCCAGGGATCCCATGACAGGATGCCCATTTTGGAATGCTCATTTTGGGGTGTCCCATGGCTGGGTACCCATATTGGGGTGCCTGTGTTG